ACTTATGGTAAGTGGGAGGCTTTGCCCCCCTCCTATATTACATAAATAAATACCATGTATTTATATAAATTATTATACTAATGAAAATGATTATATTAAGACAGTGTATGTAAAATCAACAAGTTGTATTCAACGTTTATTTAAATTATACTGTAAGTTTGTAATTTAATGAAATACAATAAAATATGGTCGATGGGGGATGTTCTAACACCTATATCACCCTCCCCTCCTAAATACACCCCTGACGGAAACAATTTTATTGCGCACTGCTACCCTCCTCCAATTGACGTGTACATTGCAATCTATCAATTTATTTACGTCGCAACGAGTGTTCATTAATTACTTGTATAATTTTTATAAAATGTAATCGAAAAAATATAATATAACTTTTAAAAATATGAATAATTCTTATTATTTAAAAAATGTTTATATATATTTTTTCGTATATAGGTTAAGATTTTTAATGCATATAAATGCATATTTTGAATTTTTTAATACATACTTGAATGCATATTTTATCAAATGTTAGTGCATTATTGTATATTTATTTATGGTTTTTTTTAGTGCATGAATTTACGAGCCCTGGTGATAACGGATAAGTTTATTTTTAGGATTTTAGTTTCGCCCACACATGATCAGTTTAACCGTGTAAATAACCAGTGGTGGTTTTTTGAATTTTTTCTGGCGGGGGAGTCCTTTTACATTATCTTAATATATGAAGACAAAATATGTTTAACCCATTAATAATTTATACAAAACAAACATTCAAATATATGGACATACGATTGAAATCACTAGATTTATGAATGGCCGTCCCAAACAAAAATAGTGCACTAGGTAAAATTAAATTTTGCCACCTCTAAAAAAAATTGAGTTTTTATTTTAACTTAGCCCCTTCCCCCTATTTTTACGTGATACATCTATGAAAAAGACTTAAAAATGATTTCTATAATTATTACTCAAAACCCATCACTATTAATACTAAATTATACTAAATTAACACAATCATCCAGAGTATGCATATCAACAGTGAAGAATCTAAGTAAAACACCGTTTCCGGAGGATGGTAAAGGGGGACAGCATTCCCTCTTTCCGTTAGTCGTATTAAAATATGTTATTAAATTTATTGTGTGTTTAATCGCAATATTTTGTGTTATTGTAATTTCCATTTTGAAAAAAAAATTGAGAAAATAGTTAAAACTATTTTAACAAAATACTTAACACCGCTAAAAATCAGGTAGCTAACTTGGAAATTTAAAATTTAACTAACAGGCGATTTAATTAACAAGCCACGATTATCTAATTTAATTAAAAACAGGATAAATCCTCAAACTAAGTCTGCTGAAGAAAATATAAGAATAAAAATCGTGATCTATTTGGTGACTTAATAACTTGTAAAATAAATATACCTAGACATATTTTTGAATCTACATTAATTGGTGAATTTTAACTTTGGTATAATTATTAGTTACAATTAACCTAACCATCGACTTTATATATGACTCAAAATTTTTTTTGGAATTTATAAATTGTTAAAAATACTTATCACGTTACAGTAGTCTTGTTTATGGCTACAGGTGCAACAGCTGAATGGAATTTTTATCACTAATTTTTTTAAAAGCTCGGATTTTGTTGTATTCTGTAATTGTGTAATTAATGTAACTTTGGTCATTTTACCTTTTATTTATAAATTTGTTTAATTTAATCTTATGAAAATGTCAGCTAAGTAATAAAATCAAAACAATCAAATTTTATCAGTAAGTTTGATTTTAAATTAAATGGGTGTTCAGTGAAAAAAAAACGTACAATTCATTGTGCAATTCAAATAACCATACCAGTATTTGTCCTCGATAACTAAGAAATATAATAATAATAATAATTGAATTTAATTAATTCAGATGTGCCCACGAAGCCCCTAGACTTCTATCACGGAATCCTAGGGCTCCGAGAAGTATAGTCTGAGAACTACTGTATAATAATATAGTCAATTGTTAACTTCGTTTCCCACGTGCGTCATCGGTTGATGGCGTGATCGAAAACAATAAATTACATAATAATTGTTTAAAATCTATGGTTGTAGATCAATCGTGGTCAAAAATATTTACTTCAAGTACATAAAAGCATAGGCATTATTCAGTTAAACTTTTTATATTGAATAAAATATCCATTATACATAAGAATGCATAATTTTATAATAATAAAATATTAGATTTGAAAATAAATTTGTATTGCATATATAATTAAGTAACAAAACAAAAATGCAAAACATTTATATAAAATTTAAAAAGTTAAAAAAAGTACATTATTTAATAACAAAATAACAAATTAGTTTGACCAATCCTCTGTATTTATTCTTCTAAATTACCTTGAAAATATGTTTATTACTTCTTTAATATTTACAATTATTTCGTAATAAATATTTAAAATTCTAATCCGTTTAAACGCTCTTGATCCATGGTTGATCAATAATTTATAAACCCAAATAATTTTTAAACATCAAAAGTTTATTTACCATTAGTTGTGTGTATTCCATCTGATATAATAATAAATAAACGTAATAATGTTTTTATAACAGGAAAAAATGAATCTTGATTCAATAACAGTGTCTAGTTACATATTTTAAATATAGTATCATTTATTCTTTCAAATTATTATTTAGGATTTTATAAAAGTTTTTTAACCAGACCAATCTTCACTTTATATATCTAAACATGTTTGTAATTATAATTAAATTTGATTCATCACGTTTATCATTTTATTTTAGTATTAAATCTTTCGAAAGGATTTACTTTACTATGCTTTTCATTGTATTTTGTTTTAAAATAAGCAATAAAATGATCGATAAATAGTAAAAAAATATTTATCCTATAAGGGTCTATTAGATTAGTTAGAGTATTAAATCGCGTTGTTTGACGTCTACATAAATGAAGTACCTATTCTTATTTCATCACCAACTAGAGCTGCTATATCATCATGGCATTATTATTATAATATTATAAGTTTAGTATTGCTTCTAGGGCCGGCCCAAGCAAAAATATTGTACTAGACAAAATCAAATATTGCTACCTCAAAAAAAAAAAAAAAAAAATTGAGTGTTTTTATTTTAACTTAGCCTCATCTCCAATTTTCATGTGACATATCTACATAAAAAAATTTTAATTTTTTTTTTTATGTATACAATTATATGTAAAAAGACTTTCTATAGTATTACTCAAAACCTATCACTATCGCGACTATCGGAAGTCGTGGAAGTGATTGTGTGGTTATTTATATTTTTGGTATAATTGAAAACGCCCAGAGTAAGCCGTAATGTAATAACTTTAGACAATATTATTTTATTAAGTGGTTTTCATGAATGAATTATTTGATTATTTTTCTTATAAAACACCGATAGAAATAAAAAAAATATACGAGTCAATTTTGAAAATGCCGCTCTAGGCAGCTGCCTAACTCGCCAATACCTTGAGCCGCTCCTGATTGCTCTTCTACATTAATAAATTAAGTGTATATGAAGGTAATATTGAAATAATTTAATTTTTGAGTAGTAAAGAGAACCTCCCTTGTATCCAGTGCCATGTTAAAACTAAATTGCTTATTACAATCAGTATTATTATATTTTACATAAATTGTAAATGTGATAAAGTCTTCAACAAATTTAAAGACACCCCATCAAAGACTATGAAGTTTGCCACACTTTTCGTCTGCTAATTTCAGCTACGTTAGTTTGGGGACTGGTAGGTTGGTCCGCTGGGAGCATATAAAGTGTTGGAAAATAATTTCACTGAAAAAAAGTTCCGAAAATAAATAACTGAAAAAATATTTGATTGAAAATGATTTAATAGAAATATAATTGTAATTAAATTTAAATTAAATGAAAATAATTTCATAGTAAATAAAAGTAAAGAAAAAGAAAAATTGGATTAGGTACTAATCTTATGGAAAATAATTGGTTGGAAAATATTAATGGATGAATCATAAAATTCAAGAACGCTTTAAAATAGAACACTGAAGACGGGGAAAGCTAATACCGTAGATCTCTATCAAGGCACTCTAGTTACCCCGTGTGTAGATCCACCACTGCTTAAGGTAGGTATAAGGGATCTAAGCAAGGGCGTATCTGAGTTGTGATCATGGGGGGGCACTAATTTTTCTTCCATATGAACTTAAAACTAATTTACCGTTGATCACATATTATTGTGTTATATAGAAAAAAAAACGACGATGAGTGGGGGGGGGCACAAATGCCCAAGTGTCCCTATATACGACCTTCAATCTAAGGTATAATGATCATTTTCATTGATTTTTAGGTTTCCAATTATTTATTTTCCTGTAAATTATTTTTGAATAATCTAGAATTCTTTTTATTTATTTTCAATGTTATTATATTCCGTGTATAATGTCTTCCATGATTTTAGGTTTCCAATAAATTATTTTCCTATCAATTATTTTCTAACAAATATTTTTTCCATTCAATTATATTTTTAATTTCAAAAAAAATATTTTCATAAACCTTGGCATTTTTTAATTTTATTTTCCATACTTTGAATTTCAATCAATTTAGTTTCCAAACATTTAGCACCTCCCGATCCGCTGTGTACATATTGTATAGGACTGGAGACGAAATTGCACCTAGGGGAACACCGGCTAGGATAGGAGATTAGTTTGAGGTGGCTGAGCCTACTCGAGTAACGAATAACTGATCGAAGAAAGACTGAAATTAAAATGATAATAATTGAACTAGTATACACGTATACACTCGTTTACACGGATTATTCGCGCTATAATTGAGCTACAAAAATAGTCGTGCGAAATCTCCAGTCTAAAAACACATTTTTGTCACGAGAAGCGGCGTTCTACGGTGAAGTCAACCACTAACACCGTCTGCGGCATATCTCTATAGTTTTCGTATTACGAAAGTTATCTATAAACCATGATAAGCACTGCTTATCTAATAATAATAATAATAATAATAATCTTATATCATATACAATTATATATGATCAAGATAGTAATAATAACGTATAAAGTCTGTTAAATTTTGGCTCAATTGTTTTCATTATTTTTTATTACATTTTTTAACACGTTTTAACAGTAAATATCTTCATATTGTTGAATAAATCTAATGTTGTAGCATTGCTAAGACAGTTTTAAACCGATCACTTGTATTGATTATGTTGCTGGGAAGCAAATATTTGTCTTTATTGGTTTTGAGTTGGTTGATTACTTTTCAGTTAATCGGCGTCAATGGGGTTATAGATCCTATCACGGGAAGTCTTGTAATTGGAACTGTAATTGCGGGATACTTCTTTAAAGATAATATTCCATTTTTTAGTAAATGTCCCAAAACGTTTGATTTGCAAGGTAAGTTTATTTTAAAAGTCATACATTATTGTTTTATATTTAAATTTCAAATACATTTTTGATTTTACTTGTAAGTTATTAATACTGTTTGAATTAAATGAATGCATATTAGAGATTTAACCCCCCCCCCCTGGAATATCTAAAAGAATTTTTATAAAAAAAAAATTATCTACAAATGTAATAGTTATTTCCAAGTTTCTCATGAGACTTGGAAATACGATACATAAATATATATATATATATATATGTATATTATATAATATATAATAAGCAATGAAGCATGTTATTTATCAACATGGTTCATGTTTTCAACCCTTCTCCCAAAGTTTTCCTATGTTTGGCCCTGATGATAACCAATTACCAAATAAGATTATTATATGTTTGGTTGTTAAAATATATTAATATACATTTATTAATACCTACCTATAATATCTATGTGATGTTTAATATATTTATTTTTTTCTCATACATCAGTGCATTTTACCCTCTTGATAATTTACCAAATAAACAAGAATATTATTTATCATCAAAATAAAAAATCTGATAATTTCATTTTTCTAAAATATATTTTGCTTTATTTTAGAACTCGAAAAAGACATGAATAATAAAGTTTTTGGTCAACATCTTGCATCAAAAATTATTTTGTCTGCTTTAAAAGGCAATTCTAATCGTATCAAGTATAACAAAAAACCGTTAGTAATGACTTTTCATGGCTGGACAGGTTCCGGTAAAAATTTTATCTCTGAATTAATAGCTAGTCATATGTTTAGAGATAACAAAGTTAAAAAATTACGATATTATCTAATAAACAGTCATTCCGATTTTCCACTAGGCACAGAAACAACTGCATTTAAGGTAACTATTTTAAACTACTATAACAGTTTAAAATCGATAATATTGAGATAGTATTTTATCTATGACAGGCCCGTACACAAGAATCGGCCAAGGGGTTCAAAATTATATATGTTATGTTAGGTTATATATTCAGTAAAAAAATTACATGTTGAAATATCTATGGTCAATAATATCAGGATTTTTATCAATAAATATCAACAAATGTTTGAAGAACTGACTAGTCAGTGAAAATGTGTTCTATCGATGGCTGCATTAACAACAATAATAGAAAGTAGGTGGAAAAGGGACGAATATTAAAAAAAAAATTGGCACTGTTTAAACAAAAGTAGATAACTATGCATGAACTTTCAAGTCAGTTTTTAACTTTTATAGAATGAGGACTAGGTATATTCTTAGTAAAAATATGTGTAAAAAGATTCTCATTTGTAAAGGGGGAGGGTTGGAATCCCCAAAACTCCCTTGCGTACGGACCTGATTTATGATACTTAAAAAATTATTTGTTTTAAAGATCTTATTGTTAAATAATTGTTGATTATATGTTTAAAATTATTGACTATTAAGTTTATATATAATATTTTGGTAATTTGATTAACAGGCACTAAATTACATGTTATTCAAAGTTAGGTTTTTAAAAAACATTATCTAATATATTTCCTCGTAAACTGATTAAACATAGCATTGCTAAAAATGATGTATTACATTCAATTAGTAAAAAAGTAACTTAGTGTCTTTTTATAAAATGTTCACAATATATTTATTTGATATATTTAGTAAACTAAATATAGTTTTATTTTAGTTAAAACTTCATGCCACTATTATATCTGCTATAAAATCATGCAATACAAATTTATTTGTTTTTGATGAACTTCAGTATATACCTATAGGTGTATTGGATATAATAATACCTATTCTTGAAAATCATGACACATCAATTGATTCTAGGTATTTATAACTAACTTATTAACTTATAATAATGTACTTATAATTTCAATATAATAATAATAAATTAAAATTATTAATATTTCAGAAATTCAATTTTTATATTTTTAACTAATGCTGGTGCTGATGCTATAGTAGAGAAAACTTTAGATCATTGGCGTAAAGGATATGCTCGAAATCAATTAACAATTCAGGATTTTGACAAAATCTTACAAGTATCTGCATTCAATGAAATAGGTAAATTATATTTATTGCTATTCCTCTTTAATTAATGATTATTTACTGTCTTTTCAATACATTGTAAAGGATAAAATTATCAAATCCATATATGTTAATAGCTCTAAAGATTGAGGATCAAAGAATATTAGTTGTCTTGTATTCTCATGCACGCCTAGAATATTATGCTATCAAATTAATTTTATTAATTCAACTATTTTTTTCCCTCTTTAAAAAAAATTTTTAAATCTGTTTAATACTTATGTTAAAAAATGTATTATTTTTATTAAGTTTTATCAAATTAATGGTGTATCTACTCTTGGAATTGACAAAAAAGATTTTCCAACCTCATAGTATTTATACAAAAACTTGTATAAATAATATTTCTTAACTTTTTATAAAAACCACTAGGAAATGAAAAGTTAAAAATAATGTATTTTAAGTTTAATAATATAATTTTAAGTAAAATTGATTTTATACTGTTAAAATTTTTCAAATTAATTGTTTTTAATGCATAATATTTTGTGAGCAGGAGGATTGAAGAAGAGTCATTTGATAGATTCCCATATTATTGATCATTATATTCCATTTTTACCACTTGAAAAAAATCATGTTTTACAATGTATTCATGCAGAGTTGAGACAATTAAATCAATCTATGGATTCCGACAATATAAAGTAATTAAATAAGTAGAACACATAAATATAATGATGTAATATTTTAATAGTACATAATTTATTTGGTTACAAATTTTTATAGCATTAATTAATTTATTGAAATAAAATCTATGAGGGATTTTATTTCTATAATTAAAAATATAATTTATTTATTGCAAAATTACACATAATACTATATTAAGTTTGTATTTAGGTAAATATTCATATATAATACAGGTTATGTATACATTATGACTAAAATAGTATAAAAATATATAAATACAGCAGTAAATTAAATTTGAAGCACAAAAACATATTCTATGACTATTTTTATATATACTGTACACCAGTGCTTCTCAGACATATTAGTACTATAACCCAAAATATATCCAAAAAATCTTTTCATGGTTTAACGGAACAAAAAAAAGATGAAAGTTAAATGATTTTTAGTTATTATAATACTTTAGAGGTTATAAACCTAATGAATTAAACATTTTTTCCTACTCAGAAAAAGTTTATTTGGAACTTACCACTGGGTTGCAACCCAGTCTGAGAAGTGCCGTTATACAATATTCTAAATTAATTAATAAAAGATTAAAATAATATATATTATACATTTTAATAGGATATAAATGTTTGGGATAGTTAATACTTACTAAAAATATAAATTATGTTTTATGAGATAAATTATTTTATAAAATATAACTAGTATATTATGTATTATGTACTTTTCAGTAAAATATTGCAGATGATTCCATTTGGCCCGAAACCTGAAACATTGTTTTCTACTTCTGGTTGCAAGAGAATTAATGCTTTAGTTACAACACATTTGAATTAAGTTCACAATTTGGAAGTACATTAAGCATGTTCTTGTACATATACTTTTGGAAAAAATCCAATCTAAAAATAAGGTATTGATGTATGTTTTATAGTTTTTAAACATTAAATAATAACTGAAAAATGTAATAATTAAATAAGTTAAGTACTTTATCTCCAATTTGTCCTTTCCACCATCCTTTTTGATCTCCTTCTTTACTTAAAATTTTCAATGTACATCCTGCTTTTAATGGCAACTGGTTAGATTCCGTAGGAAAAAAATTATACTTTGCTGTAGCAAGTATTCGGCAAAAAGGCCTTTTCAATTTAATATCCAACCTATAAATAAAACAGTTAAATATTATCATTAATGAATATGTAAATTTTTATTTTTATTAAACATACCCATTAAAATTTTCACTTAAACTATTTCGTTCATAAAAGTTAACCAATTCAACTAAATTAGGAAAAAACCGTTTTTTTGATAAATAAAAACTACTAATTCCATCTTCTAACCGTTCACATATTTTCATATGTTTAACTTGTTTATTGGATCTGAAAGTTATAACATTTATTCAATTAATTAACTAACTAACAATTAATTAACAATTAACTAACAATTAATAAACTAGTAATTTTAATAAATAATGTTTAAGCAATTATATAATTATTTACTTTAAACTTAAAGCATAAACAGTTTCAACAGGTCTAGTAGGTCTTTGTGGCCGTATTCTTACTAGATATGTACCATCAGATTCACTTTCTAGTAAAAATGTTGCTCGATCTCTATCCATTTCTCCAACGAACCTGAATTATTATTTAAAACACATAGGAATTAAAATTGTAATGTTGTTTTTATATTCAACTGCTGAATATAAGTTTTTTATAGATAAATTTTAAGAACTTATTGATAGTAAGAACTCATCAAAAATAACCACTTATAAAAATACATTAATATAGTTAAATTACAGCAATTTTTTAATTTTTATTTATTATAACCTTCTATCTTATAATCAGTGCTCTACAGAAAATTTAGAAAAATAAATATAAATTAATTGCAACCATTTATTGTGACTCAAATATATAATTTCTTAAAAAATTTCTGATTTATATTTTTCAAATTAATATTAGATCTTGGTGTTTTTAAATCCTGGAAATTGCAGATGAGAAGAAGATATTGTTAGTAATTATTTATAAGTAATACTTACCACAAATGTTCGGTTAAAGCATCATTGTCTGACCAATTTCTTGTCCAATCAGGAGACTGAAAAATAGATTATTTTTTGTATCTACTATATATTTATATGTATAATTTTATTTTTGTAAGCCAGCTTAGGTAATACATTTAAAACAATAATTCTGATAATTGATTTATACACTGATAAAAATGTAAAATTTCTATTAATATTAATTGTCAATTTAAAATTTTTTAAACATTTATTTTTCAAAAAAATAATTTATTGTTATATAGTTATAATTGTTGTACCTAAAAGCTAAGTTTGAAAATATATAATTTTAGTAATAAAGTGACAATGGTATATTTTGGCTTATTTTTATTTCATATAATCTAATGTTTTCAATTTAAACATGTTTTAGTGAGAATAGCATTATTGAGTTTCATGATGGAAAAGATATTTTATTAATCTTTATTTTACTTATGCAATTTTAAAACTTTATTTTTGTATTAAAAGATTAAAATAATAATTGCATACTCTATGGCGTTGATTAAAACTGGTAACATCAGCTGAAAATCGATTGGAAAACATTGTATTTTGAGTGGTAGTTGATTGTGGACTGACTAAGCCACATTGTCCTGATTCTTGTATGCATGATTTATGTACACTGATAAAACACTCTTCGCATTTGTAACCCTACAATACATACATTTATTTCCATTTTTTTTTTTTTTATACACATCATAACCTTAAATTATAATACTAAAAACAATTTATTTTACCTGGAATATACAGCCCTTCAAGTATTTTGAGCAATTATAACACACCGTTGGTTTATCAAAAGTATACATTGTTAGTTTGTGATTTGTTAAATTGCATACTGATGGTTCAATATTATCCCTGAAATGTAATTATTCCTATTATAAATGATATGCTTATATATGTTCCAATTTATATAATAATATTACAACTCAAGATGTATGTACACTGTAGGTAATAGCATTATAATACATAAAATGCAGAAAATGTTGAAGAAAATAAATTATCATGAGTATTCAAAATATATGAATTGGTATAGAAAATTTACATAAATGTCCTAAATAAAATTTAGTTTAAATTTTTTTTATTATATGATCTAATATTTGAAAGTAGAATGATAGCCTGAAACACTTATGATATCTATACACTTACTATGACTAGTATTACTAGTATTAAGTAAATTCTATGAAGTAATTTTTATTTAATATATTTTCTCTTCACTTTAATATTCATATATAATACTTAAATAAAATACCAATCAATTTAAAGCGAAATTTAACAGTTATGTATTGAATAAAAATATTAAGAATAGTTTACTTATTTAAAGAAATCCATTACTTAATATATATAGGTAATATACAATATTAGTTGTCTTACATAGCATCTTGTATAGCTTTAATCCATTTCTTCTTTTGATCGCCAGACCTAGCGTAAAATGTGTATACAGGATTTTCTGCTTTTTTGGGAACCATATTAAATTGATGGGACCATCGATTTTCTCTAGATAAGAATTTGCGAGAAATACAATCTTCAAGTTGATATTGTGATATAATAATTGACTGCTTATAAGAATACTGTTCACATTGAAAACCAATGAACTAAATTGAACAGAATAAAAATCATTGAATGAAACAATTCTAAATTCATACTTCTTAAAATGATTCAAATTTATTTTTATATTCAACATTAATTAAGATATACTAATGAAACAATCACGTATGATAAGAATATATTTTAAATATTTTTTTTTATTCAATATCTTTTTAACACATTTCTAACTAATAATTGTTTGAATATAAAAAAATGTGCTTTATTTCTAATGTGTTTTTTTTTAATTAAAAATAAATTAATAATTTGCTTTAATTTTAAATTGATAAAAAAAAGTACATACATGAAAATATATATAAATAAAATACTTGTCTTCAATAATGTTAAATTAAGAAAAATAAAATTATAATTCAACGATAAGCAATAATATTTTACGTGTATATCAAATCTAAACAAATATAATACATTAAAAATTTAACTTACTCTAATTGATTTGCACATCAACATAACTTGGTCAAAAATGAAGACATATCTACAAAAATAAATTAAATAGCTAAATAAAAGCAAAGTAAATCATAAATGCTAAAAACACTACCATGCGTAATGACTAAAAGCAACCTTCTAATATATAAATTAAGACATCAATAAAACTACCTTGGTTTTAATTTTTGATCGTTATTTGCTTTTATTTTTAGTTCACCATCAAAAATTAAATGGCCATAGTTTTTCAATGGTTGCATTCCAGCAATTTCCCAATCAACTATATTTTTCTAAAAAGTTATAATATTAAAAAAAATATTACTAGTTATTTTGGAGTCTAATTAAAAATTAAGTACAGTTTTATACATATAATTATCAGTTAACTATTGTATTTTATTTATTTTTATAAATGTAACATACCTGAACGTCATTTATTATGTGCAGTGTATCATTATCTCTCTTGACTTCATTTATATACTGAGCAATGTCTACCATACATTCTTTAGCCCATTTTAAACCTGGTAGATCTCTATGTGTCTGTTATTTTTATTAACATTTTATTTTACAATAAATACATTGAAACATTAAATGTACTGATTAAACATTATACCTCTACAGTGTCATGAATTAATTTGTCCAATAATAAGTGGTATTTAAGTATCCTTTGCATGGGTACAGACAAAATGTCTCGCAATTGAAATTTTCCATTATTAGCTTCTTCTTGACAACGCTATTAAAATGTATAGATTTTAATAACTATTTAAATAAATGTATTATACATTATAAATGTTAGATGGAAAATGATAATTAAAAATAAAATAACTATTTATAACAAGTAAGAAGTTAAGTTGAATATTTAAAATAATATAAAAAAAAAATTATTTTTAACCAACATAAAAAAAAAATGAAGTTGAGTAAAAAAAAAGTAATAAAGAAAATGTGTATTTGAACTTGAAAATAATTATATTATAGTTTGTATTTATTAACGTACATTAACTTCTCTATGGATATGTTCATTTTGGTTACAAAGCTCTTGTATTCGGTCTTGACTTCTCGTGAGATTAGCACAGTAATCTGCATAAATTAAAAATTTATCCTTCCAATTAAGGAAAACATCAGATAGTCTTAAGGTACTATATTGTGAACATGATTTAATCAAGTCTTGATGGAAATCTTTGTGTACTTCATAAAGTTCCTTAATATATTATGATAATTAGTATATTAAATAAAAATGTGATTCTGTTTAATAATTACTTTGATTCCTTTAAATATTGTGCATAGGTCATCATCTTTCATTATTTTTGATAATGGTTTAATAAAGCATTTAAGTAGTGTTTGTAATACATCAACATAATTTTTTTCTGTTTCGACCAGTTCATTTATTACATAATCTCGTTTTTCAATCGCTTGTTGTGCAATTATAGGATGCTAAAATAAATAACAAACATTTTCAAACATTAATAAAATCAATATTAATTAAAATTCCATCTTATTAAACATAATTAATTAAAAAGAGGTATTAAATTCTATGGATTATTATGATTATATCGTATTGTATTTTTAAGTGTTAGTTAAAAATATATAATAATAAAATATTGAAAATTAATATATTATAAAATGACAAATAAAATAAGTAATTTATTAATACATTTTTAATATAAAAGTAAAATATAATACATTACTTATACAATTTATTAAATTCATAATATATTTTGTTATATTCCAGCATTTGATTTATTTTAAATAATTTTTAATTTTTTTATTTTATTTTATTTTAATGTAAATACTTATGTGTCATAAATACTAAGTATGCAATATTAAATAATGATTTACCTCTGAGATAGATATAGAATGTGGATTATCAATTGCACATAAATCATGATAAATTTCTTCATTTCGAATATAAGTATCATAGCTGGTATATTCATTTTCATGAAAAGAATCTAATAAAGCACTTCTTGATGACACCAGGTCTCTAAAAAATGTATTAATCATTTTAAATGACTGTATTACAACATTAAATAATCATAAATAATGGGTACTAATACTAATACTAATGTGTACAAGTAAAATAGACTATATTTTTATTAATTCTTAAAATATTTTTAATTATTAATCAACTCTATTAGTTACCAATTTTATTTAAATTAATAATATAAAACAGTACCCAGTACCCATAACCATATACAATATTTAAATTAATATAAATTACAATGAATTTATGTTTCTGTATATATCTTCTTGTGATATTGTTCGAGGCTTGGTAACAATAAATCCTCTGCAATCAATGAATACAATTTTTTTAATTTTTAAATGCAAATTCATTCACAAATAATTGAAATACTTACGATATATGAAGTCTTTGTAACTTTGGAGTTTGTGACAGAATTGATAATGTTCGAATAACTTTGAAAAAATCAGACAGTTCAAACAATTCAATAGGATCAAACATATCATATTCTTTAACATCAAACACTTCTTGACATACTTGTAGGAATGTTTTTATGTTTCGTAAACATAAGAACTAATAAACAAAAATTTACATAAACTTATTTTATTTCTCATAAATTTACTAGCTCCCATATTGTCAACAATTTTTATTAATTTACAATTAGCTGAGTACCAAAGTGGTTCTAACATATTATGCTACACAAACATATAGATTAAACCATTAAAATGAATTTAGAACAAAACAATTAATTTACATAGTTAATTTTACATTGCAGCAATCGTTGAAATTTAAGTCATAAATATTCCATTTTTCAGTTGTTTTAACATGTTAAACAAATAGCGGAATTATAATATAAAGGAGAAAAATTGTCAGCTACTTGTTCTTAGAATACGATAAAAGATAAAATAATTTGAAATTTAAATTACTTGGTGAAGAAAAAAACTGAAAGTTGTATCTACAATGTTAAAATGTATATGTTAATGTACATGTAATATACATAATATACATCTAATGTATATGTTATTAAAGGTAAGTATTAAATATAATCATAAATCTTTAAAATATATTTCGGATAATTCTATTTAATTATTAATTGCATTTTAATAATCTATAATTATTCTTAAAACATTTTTCCAAAGGAATCACAAGTTATTTACATATTGTAAATGACAAAATTATGGTTTTTTTTTATAATATTTTTAGTAGAAATCAGTAATTAAAAGTAAATAAATACTAGTAACCTACAAATTTTTGGTTATTTTTGTTATTAATTTATATTATATTAAATATAATAAATCTTATAATAAATCTTTATAATAATCTTAAGTATATAATATTTTTATACATTAAAGAAAATTAAATTCATTATAACTTGCTATATTAATCAAAATAATAATAATCAATAAATAATAAAAAGTTTTAAATTCATCACAGATTATAGAGGTACCTAGATTTATTTTTAATCAAACTTAATATTTGACTGATTATTAATTCTAAAAATAATTTATAAATATTATATAAAGTTTTGAATAATAAATGTATATCAATTTTAAAATGTAATGTACAAGTAGAATTTAAAAAAATGCATTTCTTATTCATCAAATATATCATAATGTAATTCAAGAATCAGTATTTAAAAATGGTCTATGATATACATAAAATAAGAAAAACTCATGGGTATTAAGGAAAAAGTAAATCCGAAGAGTCCATTATTGAATAAATAAAAAAAAGCGATTCCTGAAGCACAATGAAGATAGCAAAGAAAAATTATGAACATAAATTAATTCTTCAAAAGATAATAATTATCTTCAAAATAGAGCATGATGTATAACATTATTAATATCTTCCCATTAGGTGAACGATCAGTATGAATAATTACTTGGGCCATTTGTGGCTTTTGGTTTATGTCCTTGGTCCCAAGACATCCCGGTTCAAGAATGTTCAGAAGATTGCACAAAATTACTCCGTCCCTAAGTGTGTGAGCCAAATCGTCGATGGTGGATTCTGGCCAGTTGACTTTGTGCTCGGCCCTGATCGCGCCACACCTTGTCAACCAGTTTGCGCACTCGCGCCAACCACCGTTAGCCATGGCGGCTTTTTTAGTGTAACGCGACGATATACGAAGGGATGCGCATTCTAGAAATCAACAGCGAAAACGAATGCGGGCCAAATACGGCTGGAAAAACACAATGATTTGATGATCGTACCGCGGGTATAATACTGACGGAATGACGACCGACGTCACAGATATACTTTCGATTCACTAACGACAATAACTAACAATCAACCTGTTGAATGTTTGTTTTCATTCTATTTAGGTATTTTTTGATACGTAATTTTCTACTGATAATACACGGATGAACGACGAATGATAGGATACATTCTGCTGGACAGTGTAACATCGAGCGAGAGAACCAAAGAGAATATAAAAAAATCGATAAACCTTAAGGCGGTCACACTGTGTATCATGTCCGCTTTATTGCTATTCCGTGATTTCTTTTCCACACCAAATTTCTTATCCATTTTATACCTTTTATCCATTACTGTAGATTTTATTTAATGATATAGATTTAAGTCGTATTGAATAAAAAATAATTTGTTCATATCCATCACAGATTTTAGTAATTGTGTTCAACGTAAAAGCGTGGCTAGCCCAAGTAAACGAAGGTAAGTCAGTTTACCCGAATAATAGCATTATACTTAAGTACGTATTGGAAATTCGTTTGAAACGCATCGTGTATTCGTGTTAATGTCAATTACATGTATTATATATTTCCTTAAACGCGTTATCATCCCATGAAACCGATGCCTTGGTAAGATAATTTTTCAGTGCGTCATTTTAATTACGATTTCCAATCCAGTATTTAGCCTATTTCAATAGATATCTATTACAAGTTTATAATTTTACACTAGGAGGATGAGTAGTTCCGAAGAAGTTTCTTGGATCTCATGGTTCTGTGGACTACGTGGAAATGAGTTTTTCTGCGAGGTTAGTATCTATTCTGTTTTCCATCGATCAAAGTATTTGTCAAATAATTACTAATATTTCAATAGGTTGATGAAGACTACATTCAAGACAAATTTAATTTGACAGGACTTAATGAACAAGTGCCTCATTATAGACAAGCTTTAGATATGATCTTGGATCTTGAACCAGGTTTGCATGTTTAAGAATTAATAATGTTGACATATGTATGAGAAAATAGCTGATACTCAATAGGTCTTTGACAACTAAATGATGTAATATTTATCCATTACCTATAGTATTTATATATGTATTTGAAAAAATGATTTAAATAAAAATTTTATATTAGAAATTATTATTTATTTCTCCAAGCTTGTATAGCCTCACAGTTTAAATATCTTCGATCTTATTTGATAACAACTATACAATTTTAGTTAAAAATTACTAAATAGATTTATAGTTAGTTTATACTTTTTGGACACATGAAAGATCTTAGTAGAATAATCTCATATGTTTTGATATTTTTTCTAATAATTGATTTCCAATTTTAGAACATTGGATATAAAATTTAAAATATCTAGTATGATGGGGTGAAATTAAAATTGATTTTTGTTGAACTAGAATTGTAACATTCTAAAATAGGAAAAATCTTAAATTGTGTAGGTTTCTATATACTCCTGATACTATTATCTTATCTTATATGATACTTTTATGGAAGTATTTGTATTTGATGTTTCCTTATTAATTATTATTATATAATAATAATTCCTTATTATATACATACAACATAATTTATTGTTCTTATATCCATTTACTGATATTACTTACTATATTATTTACTTCCGTTCTTTAAAGGTAATAAAAAAAGCTTGATTTAAATTTTCTTTATAATGAATTATATAATGTTGATAGTCCTGAATTATTATAAAAATTAAATTTCCATGTTCCTTCTCATATCAATAGATAGAACACCACTTCTAATTATGCACTCCATTTATCATCATATTGCTTAATGTGTTCTGTTAATTTGTTAAATATTGATATTATTTGTATTTAATTTACTATCAACAGTCAAACAAAATGTATTGTACATATTAAAATAAATATTCAGTGTACTTTATTTATAATATTAGAAATACTTGTAATATTATTATCATAATTATAAATGTAATTTTGTTCTAATTATTATTATTTATTTTTTTAAACATGTTGATCGTATAATTACTTTACATTATTGGGTCATTTCCGTCCAATATACATAAATAAATAAACTACCTTTAACTGTCCATAATTATCTAAATAAATTATTTATTAAATATTTCATAAAACGTTTTATGTAAGAAGAACTTCCCTTAGAAGTTTTTAATTTTGTCATGGTTCTTAATAGTTTAATATAACATAATATTCACTATAGTAAACGACAACACAAATCAATATATCTAACACTGATAAATTATTTTTTTTTATAATACAATGAGTATAGAATAAATATAGTTGTATAAAACAGTCTTAGTTTGTAGTGTGCATAAACTAGCTTCTTCATTTCCAACCATATCTGCATCTTTAGGATACAGGTCATGTAACATACCAACTCTAAGTTCTTTAAATAACTTATCCATATGTATAATCCTTTCATTTTAAATACAATTTTTTTTTAATAATAATTTTTGCAGTGGTATAATTTTATCATAATAAAATAATTCCAATGTAGTATTTCAATATTAATTGCATAACTTTACAAAATTTGAAAATATCGGTATGAAAAATATCCAGTGCATAATTATATTTCTAGAGTGAAGTAAAAGCTGTTTTCAATAGTTCTACAATATGACATTAAAAAAATGTAGTTCTCCATAAGATCAGAGCTATTATATGACTACTAAATGTATTTAAATAATATATCTATATTATTATGTTTACTTACTTTTTATTAATAGATGATGACCTGGATGACAATCCTAATCATTCAGACTTGATTGAACAGGCTGCTGAAATGTTGTATGGTCTAATACACGCTCGTTACATATTGACAAATCGTGGTATTGCTCAAATGATTGAGAAATATCAAACTGGTGATTTTGGACACTGTCCAAGAGTATATTGTGAAAATTCACCAATGCTCCCAATAGGTTAGTATTAAATGGATCACTCATTGAATAATATATATCATACTTATATAGTATTTTATTATATTATCTCTACAAAAAGATTAGTTCTATAATTTGAAGATATATCTGTTGAAACTTAAAAATAAATATTTTTGTAAAAAGTATAATTAGAAAACCTATAAATATTTATTAGAAAATTATTTTAATTACTTAAATTAAAAAAATATTTGAATTTTTATTCAGACTTATATTATTTAATTTTCCTTTTATATTGTTTTTAGTATATGCATAATACTACTATGTATAAATCTTTAATCTTATTAATTTTATATTTTTCCTATAAAGTCAATAATATTTCATCTTTCCTTTTGATGTATTTTTCATATACTTTTTTTTTTTTAATGACTGATCAATTAGTGGCAGGGGCGTATTCAGGAATTTTCTTAGGGAAGGGGAGGGTTAAAGTTTTTATTTTATTTGTTCTCTAATTATAATTATAGTTAAATTCAATACCAACAAATGGCTGTTAATAACTATAGTAATAATCACAATAGTTATACACACATTACACATATTCTGCACAAAGGTTTACTATAATAGGTAGGTACTATAATTTGAAATCAATTTTTATTTGGTAGTAAAATGTTATAAAAAAATACATTATTTAATTAACAATAATAAATAATATTAAAAATGTAGTATAAATTAAACATGGTTTATATGTTATAGGTATATTATATAATCTATTAACTTTGTATATTGAAGATAATAGGAAATTAAAATACACTATATACTATTTACTATTAAATCATTGAGAATGTAGAAATGGGGGTCCGGACCTGAAAACCCCCCCTTAGGTATGCCTCTGATTAGAGGTGATAGTTATAAGTATATTACTATATTTAATACTATATTACGGACATATATTTATATAGGTTTATCAGATGTCCCTGGCGAAGCAATGGTTAAGTTATACTGCCCTAAATGTATGGATGTGTATACACCAAAATCATCTCGTCATCATCATACTGACGGTGCCTATTTTGGAACAGGTTTTCCTCATATGTTGTTTATGGTACATCCAGAATACAGACCACCAAGACCTGGTAATCAGTTTGTGCCTAGGTAAGTGTTACAAGTTACAACTACTATCAGTTTTAAATTATTACTAATATTTAGCTCTTAATCAGTGTTAAAATTTACCTACAAAATTTTGTGTAAATTTAGTTTAAATACCTCTTAACTTTTCATTAGTAATAATGTATATCAATTTGAATTTCTAACATTTGTTATGGAATCTCATAATGATAAATTTAAATTTAAATATTACATATATAATAAAATCTGTTTATTGTTTGATGTAGTATTCTTGTAAAAAAATAATTTAGTAAAATAATTGCTTTTAATTCATAGTGTTGCACTTGAGGTGCAAATTAATGACATATATAAGGTTATTAAAGGAAAATAGTTATATTTTAAACTAGATTAATAACACTTAAATGATTTATTTTGAGTATTATAACAGAACTGATGTACATACTAAATTTTTAAATTTAATTTTATATATTATGTACATTAAAATATCAATTATTCCATTTTGATATAAAAATTTAATATTTATTATATAAAGAAGTGTGATTAGTTCAATAAGAACCATTTATTCACAAATGACATCTCTATAACGCAGGCTTAGGACTGGCAGCAAGTCTTTTGCTGGCTGGTATAGTTAAAAACTAACTTTTTGGTTTTTTATTTAGCTACTCAGTGGTGGTCTAACTGACAGTTTTAACATAAAACCCTAGCAAAATTTTTTTTTTTTGCTCCTCATCGTTGCAGTAATGGAAAATAAACATTTCTAAAATTTATTCAATTAACTTATAAAATTGAAAACTTAAACTTGTTCCGCAATATACTGTTTCACTTATAAAAAAAATCAAAATAATCTTCTTAGTAGTTTCAGATAATATGCATGCCAACTTTTCCATTTTCACAATTTTATACATAGATTAAAAGTGGTACATATTATTACTTAGAACTCAATTTTGTCTAATGTAAATTTGTATTTAATTTTAATATTCTAAACCATCTATGCATCATACATTAATTAAATAATAATAAATTTAAATTAACAAATTAACTATATTTTAAACGCATCGATCAATTAGTTTTATTCATATAATTATAGGTTTAGATTTGTTATTGTCTAAAATATTTAAGGTTTTAATATTATTTGAAAAAATATATTATGTATATGTTTTTGTATTACTATGAATTTATGATACATTGAATGATATATGTATATAATTTTTATATGAACTAGTATGATTGTGTTTATAATTTTCATTTAAGTAATTATATAATAATTGTTTTCTAGACTATATGGTTTCAAGATACATGGTCTGGCCTATCAAATACAACAACAAGCAGCAGCTAATGTCAAAACACCACTCAGACTGACTAGCTTTAACGGAAAACGTTAATATGTATTAATGGAAAATGTATCCACATTTTTATTATTCTTAAAAAATACTAGATTAACAAAATAAAAGATAATTTCAGTTACAATTTTCATCAGCTGTTGGCTGTATACTATATTAATAAATTATATTTATAAATTTATGTAATTTGTTTTCACAATTGTATATAGTGATAATTTTTGCAATTCCAATTTAGTTCATTTACTTTAGAAGACAACTCAAATTGTGTTTGAAAATCTAGAATTATTGGCATCTTAAAACATTTTTTTTTTACTACCATTTATATTTATTTTATCAGATTTATTTACAATAAACAAAGTTCTATAGTTTTGTGCCAAACAAAAATATAAAAAAAATTGATTGAATCTCTAGACAAGTAAACAATTAATAAATAAAATAAATTGAATAGATCATATTTTCCAATAAAATCATTATATAAGATTGCCGTATATACTCATATTCTTATATATTTATGTAGTTAAATGATTTATCTTTCATAAATTAATACAAAATGTTTTATTTTGAAATGTATTTAAAATAATTATTAATTTAGTATGTACATATAATTTCTTTAAAAGCAATTTTTTATGTATAACATTTTTAATATATCTTATTATTTCAGATATTACACAGCATTTTTTTTAATTTTAAAAGCATATTTACATAATATAAATCAATATAATTTTTATATCAATGTCTGTCGGAGATAAAAACAAATGTTTTTATGTTGAATACCAATAAATTAATGGAAAACACTTCTTCATCAATTGTATTTAACAAATTAAAATTATAGTATCATACCCAGTATATGATGTGTAAGCTTAAAATATTTCACAATTTATAAATGTAAAATAATTTTGTGTTATAATTTCTACTACACTTATAATGTTTTGATTTATCAATCATTAATAACTATTAGGGATTGTTAAAAATAATTATATTTTTAAGTTTTCAACTATAAATGGTTGTTGAAAAATATTGATTATAGAATTCTTAAATTATGTGGTCTTAAAAGAAAGCAATAACAATAAATTGTAATTTAAAAAAGAAAAAAAATTGGTGTTTGCATTCCTACAAAATTTAAATTGTCTACATGCAGTTGTCCCTAATTAATATTTTTGAAGGGCCACATTAGGAATCTGAAAATTTTTCGCGACTGTTAAAATTTTAAGTACATATTTTCAATAGATATTATTTTAAAATTGGATGTAATGAGAACATTATTTATATAATTTATTATTTAATATTGTTTTTAAACATTAAGAACATAATTAATTACATTAATTAATTATAAATATTATAAACATAGAATGTTGTCGTAATTTGTTTTTATTTTTTGTCAGCGGGTCGGATAAAATTTATTCGCGGGCGTATGCGGCCTACGGGCCGCCATTTGGTGACCCATGATCCACAGACTTCGGTAGTGGTAGAAATTTAAGATTTACCATAATTAACTAATTCCTTAGGATGAACGGCTGGTTAGGTTAGGTTAGTAAAAATTAGTAAAAAAAACAAAATACCTCTATTTGACAACCCTATAATGAAGTAAAAATTATAAAAATTGAGTTATCCATCGTGACAAACAATATTGATCTAAAAAAAATATTTTACATTTTTTTAAATGTTTTATTTGTTTTTAGTTAACTTCAATATTTTTATCACTGACTAGCATTTTTTTTTCTTATCTATTAACATATTGTGTGAAAAAAGATTATATTATATAATAAATACCGCGTAAAAGTTGAAGTTAGATAGTTACGACACACGTAAACATTTGGTATTGCCATTATTTATTAAACTTATACGATTCCTGATTTACTGTTAAAAAAAAAAAAAAACCTATCAATAATTTTTGGTGGTCCATGTTTTTCGTTTTCATTTTAGACAATATCAATGGATTCTTATGATAATCCTATAAAATGCATTTTTATTTGTCACTTTCATCACACTGCTGGACCAAAAATATTATGCCAGGTAAACATTGTTTTAATATTTTGTAGAAAATATTTCTTTAAGTGCTGGTATGATAAGGGAAACTCTCATATTATATAACTTATTGTTTTGTTATTATTTTCGTTAAAAAAATTTTTTTAGGTGGTGTAAGTTAACCACTGAATTACTGTTGTCTCTTGTTATTTACAGTGTTTAGCTTGTTACTCATAATTAGAAACCATTGCATTTATTTGAATTTTTGCTTAAAAACTTAAAAAGTAGGTTTCGTTGGTTAATACTAACGGTTTTCTATCTTATTGGATGTTCAAATAAATTATATTTACTATGGGTTAGAGCATTGCATGGGCCAGATTAGCCCAGCCCTGGCTATTTTTAAATTTATTAATTCAATATGTATTACACAACATGTTCAAGCACTATAAGCTATTAAGTATAAACAATACAAATACTTGATCTTTATTGGAAATAGTCATCATAATCCTTCATCGGACAGATTGGGCTTCATTGTACAGTTTTAAGTTTAGGATGGATTAGATTTCATAAATTATAATAGTGAAGGACTCTAATGAGCCGGGTTTTTTATGTCAGAATATGGATTGGGCTGGGCTTAAAAAAATCGGCCTATGCAGAGCTCTACTATGGATACTATTTGTTTATTTCGGTATGTAATTTTGTTTCTGTTTATTTGAAGTAAAATATTGAAGTATATTAGTTTAAAGATACTCATTTGTTTAAAAAATGTGAGTGTAAGATTACTATCATCATTCTGAATCAGGTCTTAATATTTCTTATGTTTGAATTTCTCTGTTATTATATATATTATTTTACTATATTATTAATATATATGTAGAGCATTTTATCGTACAATAATAGCAATAATATATCTAGCACTCATTAAGTCACTTATGCACCCACCACCTAAAAAAGTTCTGGGGTATTTACCTCACGTGCCATATGTTTTCGGTTCCACTGACTATTCAACAAGTATATATACATTTTTTTTGTTAAATTCTAGTTTTTATTTGCAAGTTGTTTAATAAAAATTTAATATTATAATTATATGTTATTTTTCTAAGAAAATTGGCTGGAATAAAATATATATATTAACAAATACTTAATAATATACATGTATAGGTTCCCAAAGACTTTATAAGCAAAGACTTGTTTGAAACAGTCAGCGTGTATATTATACCAAAAGGTCAACTGCAAAGATGTATTATTACTATGTGAGCGTATATAAAACTATTATTTTATTTTAACTCAGCATTTTAATAGTATAATTTATTGTGTGATTGTAACCATTTTTTAGAACAGCAAGTGATACAAAAATTTTGGGTTATCCAGTTCAAATTAGCGACCAAAAATATCTTCGTAATGCATATTATTTTAATTTATGTTTTGTTTGTGAATATAACTCGCATACATTACACTATGAGCCAATTGTAAAAAAATTAACAGCATTTTTAGTACGTAGATTTATTATATATTATTTAATAGTATGCACAATGAATGGTTGTAACTTTATGGTATGGGTTTATCTATAAATATTTTAATTAAATTAATAATATTTTTATTTTACCACTTTGTCCATAATGATGTACTTACTTTTTTTCTCTCCCATATTATAAACAATTATTTTTGCTAGTACCAATTACTCAATTATTAACTTATTAGTTTTTGTATTGTTCTACAGACAAACTTAGAAATAGAAGATAATTTTCTTTCCAAAAGTGATCAATCAGCTGAGACTCAAGAACATTTATTGTGCCTATTGACTAAAGTTATGAATGATATAAATATGTACAAAAAATGTGTTTTAACAGGTATTATTTGTAGTAATTTTTACTATTATTTTAATTTTATATAGGAAAATGTTTATACGCTATCTGTATTAATTCAATAGAACTATGAAAAACATTTATAAAATAAATCATTTTTGAAATATCACAAACAATTAAAAATTATATTTATAGTAGTTATAATTTTATTTAGCTCGAAATACAATTGTTTATTTGAATGTTATTGAAGTTTCTCGTAATCCACCTACTCCATCAGATTTCGATGTTCCCTTACTAGTGTCTCCAATAAATCTTTTAGAAGATCAGTGGGATTTAACTACCAGACAAGTTAGTGTGAAATCATTATTTTTTAATTTTATAATTTACTGTAATATTACCACACATAACATTTATGTTAATATTATTGTTAACAAATAAACAATGTGTGTTTAATAGGTAGCACCATTTATTGATGGAGTTAATCATGTTTGCAAAATTGCCAAACTTGCTAAATTGGATATTGAAATGGTGACTGCTTGTATTCAAAACCTTGTGTAACACATTTTATTTATTTACTCTTACTTTAAAATTTTTTTTTAAAAGTTTTTCTTTTAAATTTTAATTAAATATTGAATTGTGATTAAATATATTATATTTTTTTTTTGTTTTAGTTACTGTAATGCTATTTCATTGATAGACTTATTTCGTTATAGTAATATGTATGTATGTACAACTAAAATTAGTCAACTTGCAAGAACTATGAGTCGTTATGAAGAAGTAGTAGATGCTATATCACGTCCAAACGGACCAAAAGCTACATTCAAAGATATATTTAATATGTTTGCTGCAATGAGATATGGATCACGTTATATTGATATCTGTCAAAGGTTCAATCCAGTCTCATTGAATATCGATGAAAGGAATTTGGTGCTTTATGGTCTTGCTAATGGCTATATTCGTCAAGTGAAAAAGCACCCTGTGGTATTAAAGGAAAGTGATGTAGAAAAAACCTACATGGG